AGTTTCAGTTTTATCAACATTATACTTCAATTTCCAAATAAATTACAAATAGTCTGAAATCACTGAAATCACAATGGTTTTGGTCTGAAAAATTGATTCATATTTTCTAAAAGTAAATTTCCATTTTAACTTTTCATTGCTATTCATGGACACTATTTTCAAAATCTCAGCAACACTGATGGGACAAAATCTTCAACTTTCTGCCCAAACTTAATACAAACTCAGTTACCAACAACATCACACATACACAAGAAGTGAAGATGAAGGACACCACCCATCCAACACAGGAGGTCTCCAGGGACTTTGCTAGACAGATTTTCCTAGCAGTGTGTGACACCTCCTGTTACAGCCCTTACAAACTGCCTAGCTCAGGAGATGAACTGGAGCTGCTTCCTCTCCCCAGCATTCTCCCACGTCCTGGGCAGAGCTGTTTACCTTATTTTACACCATCTAGGAAGCACATACGGCAGCTGGGATTTTTGCAATTCCTTTCATTCAATCTCTGTTGTCTCTGACATGATTCATGCACTAGGGCTACAGGGAAAAAATACAGAAATTATCTGGGGATTGTACCAGCTTGGAGAGTTACAAAAAACATCAGCTCCTTCTGCAGTGAGAGAGCAGAGGAAAGAGAGCAGAAAAAGTGTGACTAACTGTTCCTGAATATTCAGGAGATGTGAACCAGAAAAGGAGCTGTGTTACTGTGGCTGGGGAGTTCATAGATCTGTGATTCACAGCATTACAGGGCCCATTTGGCATGCAAAAAGAGAGGATGATGAAAGGAATAGTTAGTCATGGAGACAAAGCTAGACGGAACACACAAAGATGCTACCCCTGGGAAACGGAACATATTCTGGTGTGACCCACAACCTGGGAAAGGGCATAAGATCATCTTTTCTTTATTTTCCTAAAACCCCTTCTTCCTTTGGTAGGTAGAGGATTTGAAAAAGTGTCCTCCATCTCAGCCTTGTAAGAGCACCATGAACTCCAGCGTACTGTTCAAGCCTATCTCAAGCCAAGAGGATAGCACAATGTTCTTCAAGCTTTTGCTAAAACCAGATAGCCATGTTCTCTCATGACCATATTTTTTTCTTCTCTCCCTTTAGAAAGTGTTATTTAAGGCACACAAAAGAGGAAGAAAGGACTGCGTTGTTAGAGTGCACAGTGTACTACCCTCCACACGTAATTGCTGAAATCACCACTGCTGAAATGCTTGCAGATAGCGTTTCTGTTAAACTTTCACCTCCTTGAAAACAGCCGTATTCGAAGTAGGGATGAAGGAGAATGATTTGCCTTAGGGATCCCCTTGTCGACTCATGTGATTGCTGTTGAAAATGGTCTGGATCTAAAAGACCACAAAGGTGTTTGATGTTCTTCATATATCCTTCAGCAAAAGAACTGGGAGAACAGTTATTGCTCTTTGCATTTTCAATAACACACATGAAACAAGCTATGCCCTGCCAGTTTGGAACAAGCTCTGTCCTGCCTTGATGTACCCATGCTGTGTCTCTTTTACTAGCGTGTGTGAAAAGGATGGGCAGGAAGGGGGTGAAATTATGTTTGTAGGGAAGAAATAGGACTGGGGCTAAGGGGAGAAGAAAAGAGGAAAATAAATGGAGAGGAGGAAGTGGACTGGTATACAGAAATAAGGCACCTACTCCCAAAAAAAAGAGGAAAAAATGATGAGATAGGGAGGGAAAAGGCGATGGAGACAGAAAAGCTCCAAAGATGAAGATGAAACTATGAACATAGAAAACAAGTAGGCAGGTGTGAAGAGAGAGAAAACAAAGGAAGAAAAATAATGTAAAATGCAAGGAAAATAAAGAAAAAAATAAATTAACCCTCCTGCCAAAAAGGAGCTAAAAAGAGAAAAAATTGGATAAATCAGATTAGTAAAATGTCAGAAAACACACCAAAGAGGAAACGTGGAAGACAGTAACACAAATTGCATTTAATACTGTTCATGGGACAGACTTCATAACAATTATTTGTTAAGCTGTTGCCCTGTGCTCACTGTAATATGGATGACATCTGGCTTCATAGCAGAACTCTGAGCAGCAAGTAAAAGCAATGGGAGCAATGGTCACAACTATGACTGCCAACCCCGAGCCTCCTGAGTGGAAGAACAATCCCATAGAAAAATCTGTGGCAAAGCAGAGAACTGAGTCTCAGTTGACTGTCTCCTTTATGTCAAGAGAGTCTTCTGCCCTTCCTTCTCTGCTGTGTTTGATGAATGGATCCCTCCTCCGCCACCATCACTCACTTTCAGCATGGACAGTAGCCCAACCAAAATCTAGGAATAATGGGACAAGCGCATGGTAAACAATTCGGTCTGCTGCCACTGATAATTTTTCCAGCACAGAGTATGGCCCGTTTTCTCCACTGTGAATAAATGACTTCAAATTGGTTTTCTGCCTCCCTGCAAGGTTAGGACTTCCAGCCAATCTGGGAACATACACTCAAGTCATTAAATGAATTATGGCCAGCTAGTGCAATCCAAAATAAGGAAAAAGACAATATTAAATTTTTAGGAATATTTCACATTCACACAAGCTGCAAAAATAAGGGATGGCATCACTGGGAAACTGTGGCAATTCGTGGAACACTATCATAACACATTGCTCCCCATGGGTGATTTTACCACATCCATTAAAGCTCTTAAATGCTGCTCTGAATCACAAGGCATTTCTGAGGCCCCATGGTGTTGGCAATGTCTGTGTATGGTACCCCGCTAGAGTCCTCCAGGCATGCTAAACCCACTCATGCTGTAGATACACACTCAAACACACAAGCAATCTCACTGTTTTTAGCAGCACCATTTATGCAATAAATATTTGCCCAACTCAGGGCTTATCAGCAGTTAGGCTAAAAAAATCCCCAAAGTATCTTCTTCCACCTGAATCAAGAAAAGGTTTGGAGCTGAGTCCACAGCCCCTTCTAGGTCCCACTGCTGTGCTTGTCACTGCTGCTGCCCTCAAGCAATTCTGAGCATCCATGTGGGAAAGCACACGCAAAATCAGCCAGTTTGTCATCTTTTTTTGGCTCTTCTTACACCAACAAAGTAGAAAAGCAAAGGGCAGGTTTTGGTGCAAAAGCTGCAAGTAAATCTCACTGGTATATTATTATTTTTTACATCAGATTGGTCATGTTCATGCTCAACTATAACGTTCCTAACTGAAATGTTTCTGGCTCATTTCAAGTATGGGTTAATAATGATGAATCACAGGTAAGGATGATCCTAAATTAAAGAGGCACAGTTCAAGGCTTTGCTATAATGAAGGAAACTACTGTTATCTAGAGACACATAACAGACACATTTAATTTTGCATTCTGCACTTTAGCTCAAATAAATACTAATTACACTCCCCTTAGCCCCCTTGCATGGTGCAATCCAGCACATGCACATCAGAAACAATGAATACATACATCAAGTGAAGAGTAAGGGTAATTTCCTGTGGTTACTTTACAAGCAAGATATTAAACTGTGACTACCCTGCAGAGTTTAAACAATATGCTTGTAATAAAACCGATGCTGTAGTATGTAATCAGAAGTCCAACAAAAAGTTTGACATGCTTAATGCAGCATTCACATGTAAAATGTCTGCAGTTGAAACAGGCCAGCCCTCTAATTTCAGTCTTTGTTCCAAAATTAAACCTTGGGCCAGGTGCCTCTGAACATGTGCTGAAGTCCCTGTCGAAGGATGAAGACAGAATTTCCCCGTGGAAATGATGGAAAACTCAGACTGGCTCTGTGCAGGCAGAAACACCCTGGAGCCCATCAGAAGACAGGCTCTGTTTGAGCCTGTTAGGAAGCACGTAATTGCCACACATGACTGCATGGGGAAATTTTGAAATGTATCTCAGTTATCCTGCCCATGCCTTAATTCACTAAACAACTCTACACGGTCCTTGTATGACACCAGAGACATTTACCACATCATCTGATGTCTTCCTAATGTTAGAAATATCCCATAGATATTCACCCACACTTTTCCTAAATGGAAGTAACTGGACAGAATATGACCATGCATTTTAAACCATCTTACTGGGTTAAAAACCCAGGACAGCCATGCAATTGGATTTTGGTAAGCTCTCAGAGAAGTGCAAGGGGTTGACCCAGACAAGAGCGAGGGCTCCAGCATTTGTAGTCAATCATTAGGCTGATGTGTGAGAGGGCAAGCACTGTGGGGTCAGGAGGGATGGCACAGCACAGGGACAGGAGGGGTGGCATAGCCCAGGGATGGCAGGGATGGCACAGCTCGGGGACAGGAGGCGGGTGGGAAAGCTGAAGAAAGGCTGTGAGGGAGGCGGAAATGGGGGACCAGAAGGTCAGGAGCAGCACAGGACAAGGTGGAGGCCAGAGGCAGAGGGAAGGGAGGACAGTGTGCCAGGAGCTGCAGGCCAGTGGACAGAGATGCCAGGGAGGCAGGAGCAGCAGGCAGCGTGTGGGCTGGGAGAAGCTGTGAGGTAGCCAGGCAGGTGGGGCTACCTGTCCCCCCAGAGCCAAGCCAGCAGCCCTGCTGCACTCAGCAGGCAGGGAGTCAGCAGCCACAGGCATCTGTCTGCGCCCATCCGAGGGCAGGATCAGGGCCTATACATACACCTTCACTTGAGGGCAAAGTCTGTTAGCATTCATCCAAGCCATTTTAAAACATCCCAGTTATTGAGAGTCTCCCTGATTAGGTGGTGGGGAGTCCAGACTCTGCACCACAACCGTCACTGCAGTGCAAGCATCAGAAAGGAAGCAAAGCTTTCAAGGTTCAGAATAAAAGACTCCGTTTACAAGGTTATAAATTATTCGCATCTCTGACTGGAGGCTGAAAGCTTTGCTCAAGTCTGAAAGACATTTAGCAGCTACTTGAGAATCACCGTTCATTAAAAAAAAAAATAAAAAAAAAAGCAACAACCTCCCCCCACACTCAGTATTCAGCACCAATTGTCTTGGAGTTCAATCTGCACACCCTTACTGCAGATCAGTGAATAGCAAAATGGATCAGTACCTGCTTTGTAAGTCATTCAGGTGCAATTTGCCTACATAATGGGTGGCTGATGAGACAGTGATGATCCTAGCGTTGTGACTGTGCGTTCCTGATTGCTTCAGCGTATCCAAGAGGAGGTTAGTCAACAGGAAGTGTCCCAAGTAGTTCAAGCCGAAATGCTTCTCAAACCCATCCTCCGTCTTCCTTTCAGGGACCAGCATCACCCCAGCTGGAGGAGAAAGTATAGGTAAAACCTGTTGATATATTTCAGAGAAGGAGCAAGCTAGAAGGAGCACGGATCTCCTCCTGCAGAGTGTAAACACAGCATTTAGAGTAATGAGTGATTGGTGATGGCA